ATAATTATATTATTAATAATATAATTATATTATAAGATAATATAATTATATTAATAATAATATAATTAATTATAATATGATTATATTATTCTTCAATTTCACACACATAAACGAACAATATACACATTCTGGATAAGTATATAAAAAACTATATGTAATTGTATATATGTAAATATAATCACACTTAAGAATCACCTGGCTTACCATGAGTTTTTCAGAGGTTTCCTCATGGTGAAGAAGACTAAAACTTCCGAAGCGAATGCTGAGCCAGAAATATTCCTCTGATAATGAAAATCAATAAGTGAATATACAAAAAAACTAATTTGATTTTTCAAAAAATTGAGTTTGACATTTGATAAGTAACTCATAAATTCAATTATTCATTAGTTTTGACAAAGTTGTAATATAACAACGAAACGTCAACAGAAATAAACTTTTTCATATTAAAAAAGCCTGTTAATGCTAAAAACTTTCAAAATAAAAAAATATATATATATAATATATATATATATATATATATATATATATATATATATATATATATATATTCGTTGCGATCACATCTCTAATTGTAATTCTTTTTCAAAAATCAACTCCGCTCTTTCGGCTTTCTTATATTCAGCATTCTCTTCCGAAGTGTATAAGGCTTCTTCGAAATTAGGAAAACTCTTGAAAATCTTGAGAGCCAAGTAACTGAAATGAGCTAGATATTATTTTCAATTCAATCTATAGTGATGTAATACACCCTTCAAATAACTCTAATAGATCAAACTTCGATAACCACTCAATTTATTGTAAATACAACTAGTTTCGCCTATTACAGCATTATCGAACGCTTTATAATGTCTAATATGCCAAACTAGTTGTATTTAAATTGAATTCAGTGGTTTTAAGACTTGTACCTTATTGAAGTTCTGTTTGAAACGAAGTACTACACTGTTAACCATTTCATCTAGTAAATTAATTTTTCGACACTGATAGTTGTTTTTTGAGCTATCATGAACTTAAAACACATAAATACATTTCATTTCGTGAAATCATTATGCTACAAATTGAAGCTTTATCAGAATTTCGAAATACATTATTTTCAATAATATTTTTTGACAAACCCACAAATTGTAGCGGAACTTTCACAGGAAATGTTTCCACTTTCAATGCCTCTTACTGCCACAAATAAAAACTTTCAAGTGAAATATTAACACACTAGAAGATACCAGGGAAAAAACGTGTTTAGTTCAACTGAAAATTCTCTAAATAGTTCTCTAACATTTCAAACAATTTATCACATTAGAATATTCCGTAAAATTCTGATGAATATTAACCACTTCTCAGAATAAGCACGGTTCTCTTTTCCAGCCTCCTCTTTTCATCAAATTCGCCCTAAATATTTGACTGGGAGGTCACGCTTAGAAATTGATTTCCTGTCACAATTATAACTCGCCCAAATTATATTTTTGTCTGATGGTTCTAACGAAAGGGTTGATCATGCTCATTATATTCGAAATGAATACAAGAAGTGAATGTCAGCCTTCAGCCTTATTTTGAAACAATGATTTATTATAATTGACAATGCCTTACTGGCGACTATACTCAATTCAATTATTGAAAAACGTTGTATTCAAGGCGCCCTTATGAAAGTTGAATGCAGCAATGAAATAATATTCAGGCATATATTTTCTACATAAAATAATTTCAATGCATATTCCATGTTGCAATTAGTCAGAATCTGGAATAAGATATTATTTTGATGATATTCAGATAATATTATGTATATATTCAAGTTCAAATTTGAAAAAATATGATTGAATGTAAATGAAAGGGTAAAACTGAAAGGATTAAACTGAAAAATCTGATTAATGATTGATAATTAATCAGATTTTGAGATATATAAATATAAAATGAAAATTAAGATTGAATGAATTAACATAAAATAACGTTTTCCACTTGAAAACAGTAACAGATATATCACTAACCGAAAAGTAGTGTAAGTTCGATTTCTAATTCAACCAACCGTGTGTTTAACGGCGGTGAAAATTTATGCATTTTATTTTATGTTATTTTATGTTGATGTTTTCATAGATCTGACCATAAGTGTGTACCATTCACCACAGATACCTTTTACTTACCTTGGACCCTTGATGTTCAATAAATTACCAGACAATATCAGGGATGAATTTCTAGATCTGTATATATCCGACTAATAAAGAACTGGATACATCAAACTCCTAGATATAAGGATTGATAAATTTATAAACAGAAGCAATTTTATTCAATTTGAATTAATAATATAATATCTCCACAATTAGTGTTGAGAAGTTACTATTATTTTCTTTTTTTTTTTAGTAATTAATATGCTTTATAGATAAATTAGAACCGCTACCACTTATTGTTCTTGGTTATTTTCCTTTAGTTTGTATTATTTTGTTTCAAGTCTATATATTTTAGTAAAGTTTATATATTTCAAGTTACTCACGTACAAGTTTTAAACTTGAGTGAGATAATTAATTTATTTGAGATTATCTATCGTGAAGAAATATTAATGTAATCCATATATAGTGTGGCCAGATGAACAAT